CCCAAAAAAAAAAAAAAAAAAAAAAAAAACCCACACAGCTTGCTATATTTTAAAGGCACAGTTTTTGGAGAATAAAAGAGCTGATAGCCAATCCTAGTACTGACATGCATGAATTCACAACCTTCACTTAAGATACTGTGCACCTTTTTGTCTAGTTCTCTCATGTGTAAAATAAGGGATAATAAATCTCTACTGATCTGCCTTCCTAGTTAGGATTATCAGGCTTGTTTGAGCTGCAGTAGCTAAAAGGCCTGGCATGGGGTGGGGGGTGGGGTAACACGTAACAAGTGCTCACTGAATATGCCTTTTCTTATCCAAAGCTATTCTCTTGCACTTACTTACCAAGCCACTCTTTGGACAGAGCTACACAGCCTTACATCGTTATTGCTCAGGGAAGCCTTCTGCTTAGACCATACTGTTTTGCTTCCCTCCTACCTATATCCAGTGCTGAGTTTCTATCCTTACATCTTCAAATAAAATAATTCTCATTATGAAGTAAGTACATATGTATAAGAATCAGTAATCAATAGAGCTTTAAGTATACAAATATTAGTTTCCAGTAACCAGTAATAGTCATTATCTTTGCTGCTCCTTTTTCTGGATAATCTCTTTCATTAAATGTAATTTTTCCTTTGGGGCTTGTTCACTACTGCAGGGGACCTAATAAGCATGTATGTACATAGGTATATGTATGTTAAGCATGTGACACCAAAAGGAGTCTCATACATAGCACAATCTCAAATGTGTGAAGTATCCAAAATGCTATCATATTGTCTCACATAGACAAGGTCATTGCAGCAAAAGTGAAAAAAGAAAACTATGTAAAGAGGAATAAGAGATGATAGAAGGAAAAGGGGGACAGAAAGGGAGGAAGAAGCATGGTGAAGGATACAGTGACAAAACCTTCAAGGTATTTTTGAGAAGGAAAGCCAGTAAGATGTTCTCTTACCTTGAAAGACTGAACAATTTGAGTAAGACTTTGCTTTCAGTTTAAACTAAATATTGGTAGCTTCTATTGTTTAATCAGCTATTACATGTCTGCTCCTATATTATGATAAGATTTTTTTTTGGTACCAGGGATCGAATTCAGGTCCCTGCACTTGCAAGGCAGGTGGTGGAACCACTGAGCTAAATCCTTGGCCCTGTCTGCTCCTATATTAGATTGTTTATCATACATTAATTACCCGGATGAGTCCTCAAGGTAGGTATTATTACCTGCCACTAACTAGTTTTATGGCCTTGGCTAAGTTGCTTAACCTCCTTTGCTTCAGTTCCTTGTTAACTGAGGAAAATAGTTTATACTTTATAAGGTGGTTGTGAGAATTCAACTAGATAGTTTACAGAAAGTCCTTAGACCATTTAGCCACTATGATTACTGTGTGTAATGAGAAATTGAAATTGTAGCTTTTAGAGATAAAGAAGTTTATCAGAAATTACATAGCTAACAAGTAGTTAAATTGGAATTTCATTCAAACTCAGGATAACTGGACAGTAGTCTTTATTTTTTGTTTGTTTGATTGGTTGCTTGGTTTTTTTGTTTGTTTTTTGAGACAGGTTCTCCCTGTGTAGTTAAGACTGACCTGGAACTCACTGTGTAGCCTAGGCTGGTCTTGAACTCACAGCGATCCTCCTTCCTCAGCCTCCCAAGTGCTAGGATTACAGGCATGCGCCACCATGCCTGGCTCCCTGGACAGTAGTCTTTGTATATTCCTTACTGCCTCTTGAGAATGCTATAGAATATTGTACCTTGAATGTTCATAATGAAGCACTCTTTTCTGAAGTTTGGCTGTAATCCCAAAAGAGAAATCAAAGCTTCGATGGAAAATACATACTATTCTATGTAAAGTCCATGTGCCTGTCACTGTGACTTTATTATGTGGACTTTACATAGCATAATAGAAAAATGCCTCTCATCCTCAACTGATTCCCGTGCTGGCTTCCATCAGCCAAGTTTATTCGTCTATCTTTATCAGAGCTTTTACCTTTAGAGAGTCTAACATGTTCATTGGAAAGAGATAATGTGGTTCCCATCCAGGAGTCTAAAAGATGAGGAAAAAAAAGTAATTGGGAGGACAACAGCAGAGCCAGCATTATTTATTTCTTTGATAAGCAAAGGTGAAGGAAGGGAAAATCCATGGAGGGAAAAGCCAGAACATTCTGTGTTCCCTTCTGTCCTCATCCCCACTGGGTTTCTTCTCTGCTCACCTCTCCTGAGCAGTATTTGGATAGTCAAGAGATTAGGGTGCTGCCGAGGGGGAAAGACTCATTGTCTAATGCATCTGACTTGTTATATGTTTTACAGAATACCTCCACTTCACTGCTCTGTGAGACTGGCAGAAAAATAATACTTTTGATATGCTGTTTTATTTATCTACATTCTGTCATGATATACTTTGATGTAAGTTTTTAATTTTGCCTCAGCTCTCAGCTGCTCTTGCTGTTACAGCTCAGGGTCAGCAATGAGGTTAGCCACAGTAGCACAAAACAATTTCCTGTTTGTACAGCCCAGGTAACATTTGGATGAGGATTAAATTTTACCACATTTTCTACTAGCCCAAGCCTATTATTTCTAATGAGTTTTAAATTGCTTCAAGAACATGTATTTCAAAACTTAGTGCTATGATCCGTTCAGCCTGAGCAACTTAATAAAAGAAATTTCTTTCTTAAATTTTTGGTTAAAATGTTGCATGCAGTGTAATAAATGTTATTACTTTGGAAACCTACTTCTCAGTTTTAAGAACTGGATGTTTTTTATGCTCAATTTCCATTTGTCTAATCTTTTCTTCTCTTTGCCTCTGGCTACTGGTATCTTTAGTGACATCTGTTGGTTGAAGAGTGCACAGAAGGGAAAAACAGTGATGGTTTTCATAAGACTGGACAAAATGGAACTGCTTTTATTCCTTCTGTAGGTACCTGATTTCAGAAAGCTCAGTGTGTGGAACTTAAAATAAATTGATCAAGCTACAACTATTCTCTGTACTTAAGAATTTACATATTTTAAACCATTTATGTTCTAAAAGGATTTAAGATTTAACTTAATATGCATAAATGGAGTTTCTACAGTGCTGTACAAGCCCATTACTCCTTGTAACCCAGATAACAGATTAGTGGCTTGCATACTGGGGTTCACAGAGCCCTAGAGGTCTGTGAAAGTGCCCCAGAGGCTCTCCAGAAAGGTAGGGAGGAAGGGACCCTCTGTCACTTTGATCCAAGGTATTCAGTTACATATTTGCACTAGATTTGTCAGTAAAATTGTCACCTGTTAAAAAAAATGTTTATAGAGCATGAAAATTACTAGCATGTGCTATTACCATAGAA